ACACTCTCATTCTTGACAGACAGTGAAGCAAACAGACAGATTCACAGACAGACAGACAATAATATTTATAGACAAACAAACACTCACTATCATTCATGGTAGACAATTGAAATAAACAGACAGATTCACAGACAGACAGACAGACAGACACTCGCCCATGATGAAAACGATCTCATGTTACCAAGTGATGATTATTTATATATACCCAACAATACCCAAACATAATATTCAAAACAGGCATTCATGATTCTCAAAACATTTATTATGTCCTCAGTGAAGATCTGCACGGTAACAATACCCGACGGATGTACACACAGACATGAAGACAGTAATATATACACTCAAACAGACAACACGAAAGACAGTTTTAAAAAGTTAGTGAGATAGCTTCAGACTGCTTTTTATTACCCTAAAAAAAAAGTTCTTATGAAACATGTTGGCGAGTTGTACAGCCCCGACACACAGCGATACACACGCAAAATAAGACAGCCACACACACACACACAGATAGACAAAGACGCAGACATCCTAAGACAGATATCCATTTCCCTCAAAACTCCCTCATTGTCACCTGCATTAGTCGAAACAAATAGCCACACATACACCCAAACGGACAGACGAAAAGACAATTAGACAGCCACACGAGAATCTTCTCTTACCCTCAGTGATGATCTAAGAAAAGACAGCTATACATGTACAAAATAGATTCCTTTACACATGGAAAAAAGAACAATTAGACAGACCCTAGACAGCCTTCGAAATCCATTCATCACCCTCATAATGCTTATATGATTTGCCCAGTAAATAAACAACCATACGGGCAAACAAACAGCCAACTACACATACACACAAACAGACAGACAATTAGACAGCCGCAAATAGCCTTACGAAGTTTTTCAATACTCCTCCTCCTCCTCTGGCCCTCGTTGATGATTCACACAATGTACAGACAACCATACATTTATACAAACGGCCAACCACACACTCACGCAAATAGGCAGACAAATAGACAGCCCTCGATAGCCCTCAATAGCCCCAAACAGCCCTTTCTCACCCCCCACCCCCCACCCAGGACGCTCTCACAGGCCTTGTTAATAACCCACGCATCGTACAGACCACGACACACACACGCACACACAATCAAACCAGACAAGGCTAGTACAGACAAACAAATCAAACCAAAAAAAAGGACAATTCGACCAGCCTTCGAACATGCCCTCGTCAAGCCCTTTCCTCACCCTCAGGACGCTCTTGTGGTCCTCGTTGATGATCTGAACCGTCTCGTTGGGTTCAATCACTTGGTTGTCCTTAATCCAGGTGAAGTTCGCGTGCGGTTCAGCTACGGCCTCGCAAGTCAGGTTCACGTCGCCCGTTACGTAGCCGTAAGCTTGGGCCATGAGGTCGTTGTCGCTCCATTGGGGTTTGTCTGTTGGGGTTGGAGGTGGGGGAGGGGGTGAGAGGTGGGGGTTGGAGGTGGGGGAGGGGTGAGAGGAGGGGAGGGGTGTTGGGAGAGGTGAGAGGTAGGGGAGGGGTGTTGGGGAGGGTGAGAGGTGGGGGAAGGGTTGGCACAGAGGGAGAAAGAGAGAGAGAAGAAAAAAGTTTTTTTTTAGGAAGTAAGGATTGAAAAGAAGGAAATAAAAAAAAGAAAAACAGATTAAGTTTTCTTCTTATAATAATCAATTCAATCTTTATAAAATCATAAACAAACTGCAACATATTCCAAAATCCATAGAATCAATCATAACAAGAATAACCATAGCAAAAACAGCATAAAAAAAAAAACATTAACAAACTCCCCCTATTTTCAAATCCACACCAAAAGTCCCTCTTAAACCAATAACAACCAACTTCAAACAAACAAACAACCCCCCCCCTCCCCAAATAAAAAAACAAAAACAAAAAAACAAAAAAACAAAACAAACAACACTCACGGTGAACTTTGACCTCAATCACCAAGTCCTTGACCTCAGAGGTGTAGTTGGAGAGCTGCAAAGCCACGCACTTGTACTGGCCTGCGTCTTCAAGGGTGGCGTTGCGGACGATAAGGTCGTTGGGGTGCTCGGTCCCTTTCTCGTATTTCTTGCCTGGGGGGGAAGGGGGGGTAGGGGAGATAGGGGTTAGGGGAGGGGGTAAGGGGGTGGGAGGGGTAGGGGTAAGGGGAGGGGTAAGGGGGTAAGGGGGCAGGGGGAGAAGGGAAGGGGGTGTGGTTAATTTATCTATTGTTTATTTGTATGTCATATTGTATGTCTATCTGATGATACTATTATTACTACTACATCTACTACTGCTGCTGTTGCTACTACTATTACTACTATCACTACTTCTACTACAACTATTACTTCTATTATTACTACGACTAATAATTAACACTTTCACTGTGATTATCATCGTTATTACTATCATTATTTTAGTTTCTATATTTTTTTATAATCATCGTTATTATCATTATTATTATTATTATTATTATTATTATTATTATTATTATCATGATTATTATTATTATTGTTATTATTATTACTATTATTATTATCATTATTATTATCATTATTATTATCTCTATTATCATCAGCATTCTCATCATTATCAATTTCATTACTATATAATTATCAATATTATAATTATCATTATCATTATTATTGTTAATATCATTGTTATTATTGTTTTTGCTTGCTGTTGTTATCATCACTATTATTATTACTATTATCATTATCATGATCATTATCATTAACATATTTTTTAGGATTATCATTAGTTTTATTATTGTCATTATTATCACCATTACTGTTATCGTCACGATTAATCATTATTACAGTTATTATCGATACCATAAACACTATTCATGCATCAAGAGAGAGAGAGGGAGAGAGAGAGAGAGAGAGAGAGAGAGAGAGAGAGAGAGAGAGAGAGAGAGAGAGAGAGAGAGAGAGAGAGAGAGAGAGAGAGAGAGAGAGAGAGAGAGAGAAAACGAGAAGAAAAAGAGAAAGAACAAGGGAAAGAGAGAGAATGAGAGATAGATAGATAGATAGACTGATTGATAAAGTGTGTGAGAGAGAGAGAGATATGAAAAGAAAGAAAGATTGACGTAACAGGAGATAAAAGAGGAGAGGAGAGAGAATGAAAAAGATAAGGAGAAGTGAAAAAAGAAAAAAGACATTAAAAGAAAAGAGAAAAGAAAAAGTAAAATAAAGAGAGAAAGACTGGAAGAGAGAAGCAACAAAAGGGAAAATAGCAACAAAATAGAGGAGAAAGAAAGAGAAAAAAAGGGAAACAGAAAAATAAAGAAGAGTAAAAAAGTAGGAAAATAAAAGAAAGAAGAAAAACAGGAGGAGGAGCAAAGACGAGAACAAAAGAACAAATACAATAAAAAAAAAAATAAATAAGAAAAGAACACACGAAGACAAATAAAAATAATAACAATGACAATGATAATAACAATAATAATAATGATAATAATAATAATAACAATAACAATAACAACAATAATAATGATAATAATAGTAACAATAATGATAATAACAATAACAACAAGAAAAAACAAGAAAAGCAATAATAATAATAACAATAAAAACAATAATTATAATAATAATAGTAACAATAATGATAACAACAACAACAAAAACAATAATAACAACAACAAAAAACAACAACAAACAAACACCGAAAAGCGACCCCCCCTCCCCCCACCCAGACGCCACTTACCGAAATTAACCTTCCTGTTGTTGATATGCCAGGACACCCTCGGAGCGGGGTCGCCGTCCACGTCGCAGCGCAGAACGGAGTCGTGGTCTTCCTCGAGGAACTGGGTGACGGGCGTGTCCATGAAGTCGAGGTGCTCTGGAAGAGGGCGCAGAGAGAGGGGGGTAAGGACGTGGTGGATATAAGGGGGGGAGAGGGAGAGAGAGAGAGGAAGAGAGGGGAAAGAGGGGGGGGAAGATGGGATAAGGACGTGGTGGATAAAAGGGGGGAGAGGGAGAGAGAGAGAGAGGAAGGAAGGAGAGAGGAAGAGGTGGGAGGGGAGGAAGAAGGAGGGTGAAGCAGAGAGAGAGAGAGAGAGAGAGAGAGAGAGAGAGAGAGAGAGAGAGAGAGAGAGAGAGAGAGAGAGAGAGAGAGAGAGAGAGAGAGACAGACAGAGAGAGGAGTGAAAGAGGATGAGGGATATGGGAGTTGAGTGGGGAGGAGGGTGGGGGAGAGAGGAAGGAGGGTGAGAAAAATGGGAGGTGAAGGAAAAGGAGAGAAAAAGAAAAGGAGGGAGCAAGGCGAGAAGAAGAAGGAGGGTGAGGAAGAAGGAGAGAGAGAGGAAGAAAGAGAGAGCGAGGAAGAATAAAGGAATATGATTTTTTCAAATATTATATTATAAACATGCACACACACACACACACATACACAAACACACAAACACACAGCTAAATAGGCAGACACACTCAAACAAACATAACACACACATACACACACACACGCACAAACACACAAACAAACACACACACACATACACACACATTCAATCACGTATACACCCATTTTCACTCACACATACATATATTCTCTCTCTCCATTACTCTACATACAGAAACATAAACACACACACATACAAACCCATCCCCACTCCCCACACACACATTCACATTCACCCCCACACATGTCCACACCCTTACACGCACTACATCCCTCCATCTCCCTCCATACACCCATTCCTTTCCCCCACACACTCTACATCCATCCCCCCCACCACACACACATCCATCTCTCCCCCACAAACACACATATCCATCCCCCCACACACACACTACATCTATTCCTTTCACCCTCCCCTACACACACACATCCCTCCCCCCACACACACATCCATCCCCCCCCTCCCCACCCACACACATCCATCCACCCCTCCTCCCACACACACATCCACCCCCCCTCCTCCTCCCCCTCCCCCAATACTTACTCAGAACAACCAGGTCAAACGAACGTTCCTGCTCAACACCGTCAACGTTGGCAGAACAGGTGTATTTTCCACGATCCGTCCTACTGATGTTTGAGAATATGAGGTCAACGCCCTTATGACCTGACCTGCCATCCTCAACGTGGATCCTGGAGGGAATATTATAGGATGTGATGTTTAGTGGGGAACTTTATATATATATGTATGTTGTTAGGTAAAAGGAGTGATGTTCCATTTTTTTTTTAATATTTATTAGAGAGGTTTATAGTACTCACAAGCAGAGGTAGCAATTAAGAAGGTAGTAAAAAAAAAAAAAAGGAAAAAAATATGGCCAGGTCCTGCAGCAGGTTAAGGAATAATGTCCGTGAAATTTATGTTATGCTGTTCAAAAAAAGAAAAAAAAGAAAAAGGGACAAATCACCGTCTAGCAATAAGTCTTCAAATAAAAAAAAACAAGAAAACTATATACAGAAAAAAGTAGATTGAACAAAAAAGAGGAGGTCTTTCACGTAAGCTATTACTAACATACTAAATTTGTTTCTCAGCTTTGAGCGGAAAGAAAATGTACGCTTGCAACTTAGATTTTCCAAAAATAATAATACAAAAACTATGAAAAAAAATCACCAATTTCTAAGTGAGCATAAAATGAATACAAACCAGTCTATGAAACTGAGAAAAAAAGGAAAATAACTTCTGTCACTTCAGAAACAAACAAAAAAGCTCTTCTAAGTAACTTATAAACGCTTGTAACAAAATACTGTGACACTACAAACCACGTTTCTAAAAGTGGCCTTTGATCTAAGTCCATAGAAGGCTTGAACACTTGAAAATGAAGGCAAAGTCATGTCAAAAAGGACTCTACAAAGTATTGCCATTTCAGTATATAACAGAGAAGGACACTAGGTGCAACAATCCATGCAATAATCATGCACAGTCTATTAGAAGAATCTCATGTCTAATTCTAAATTCAAAGGAGATAGAACGTTACAGTTTAGTAATCTTAGAATTCGTCTCTGCATGTAGCTTTTCATAAACTATTTTAGCAGTTTAGGTAAAAAGTGAGATCGAATTAGTTGTTCATAACAAGTGCACTTTTTTTTGAAAATCAGGATCATTAATCATATGTACAATTGAAATGTTCATAGTTTATCACCAATGGCAGCCAAGCAAAGTGGATCTACATTATATATCACAACAGGGAATTCATTGCAACTGACTTTTGTTGCAATAATAATGATGATGAGTATGATGTATTGAAATCAACATGTATATTGTGAAATATAGTGCTATTCTACAGTGGTGGATGTGAGAGTGTTAAATTAGGAATAAAATGAAAGGAAGAAAGGGCAGAGGAAAATAAAAAAAATGATGAATGAGGGGTGAAGGAGGAAGATGATAAAGAAGAAAAAAGTATGGAAAAAAGAGGAGGAGGAGGAGGACTGCAGTAAAGAAGAATAGTAGAGGGGCAGAAGAAAACAAAAAGTGCATGGGAAGGGAGAGCAAGAAACTGAGAAAAGAGAGTGAGAGAAAAAAATAGAACACGGTAAAGGAAAATAGAAATAGCGAAAAAAACGAAAGTTGATGGAGCGAAAATGGAGGAGAAAAGAAAGGAGATAGAAAAAAAAGTGAGAGTAGGAATATGAGAATGACTAAGAGAGAGAAGAAAAGGTAAAATGGAAACATACTGAAAGAAGAGACAAGAGAGAGAGAGAGAGAATGAGAGAGAGAGAAGAGAGAGAAGAGAGAGAGAGAGAGAGATAGATAGATAGATAGATAGATAGATAGATAGATAGATAGATAGATAGATAGATAGAGAGAGAGAGATAGATAGATAGATAGATAGAGAGAGAGAGATGAACAAAAATCAGGATACGAATAAAAAAAAAACAAAAAAAAAAACAAAGACGAAGGAAAGGAAAGATAGTAGAAAGAAGTGAGAAAAATATATATAAAAAGGAAAGTCAAGGAAGAGATGAAGAAAAAAAGAAGAAAGAAGATATGATAAATAAGAAATAATTGTAGAAAAACAAACAAACAAATGAAATAAAAAGGAAGAGAGGAGAAAGAAAGATGGAAGGAAGTGAAAACGTAATAGATGATAACGATGATAATAAAAAACGATTGATTATTAATAATTATAATGATTAATGACGATTATTATATTGATGATTTATAACTATGCTAATGATTGAGGATTATGGTCATTAATGGCTATGATGATGATGATTAATACTACTACTAATGATAACGATAATAATAATAATAATAATAATAATAATAATAATAAAAATAGTAATGATAATAATAATAATAATAATAATAATAATAATAGTAATGATAATGATAATAATAATAATAATCATAATAATAATAATAATAATTATAATAATAATAATGATAATAATAATAATAATAAAAATAATGATAATAATAATAATGAGTAATGACGATGAAGAGGAGGATTAATAACTTAAATTATAATAAAGAAACTGACTAGGATAAGATGATGATGGCGATAATGAAATAATGAAAATAATGATGATAATGACAATAAGGATAATAATAACAATGATAATGATGATAATAATGATAATGATAATAATAATGATAATGATAATGATAATTATATTGATGATGACAATGATAATGATGAAAATAATGATAGTGATAATGATAACAATATTGATAATGATGATAATAATGACAACAATAATAGCAATGATGAGGGATGATGATGACCCTGGCACAAGGACACTACAGAGTCTTGGTTGCACGGTGTCCTGGGGCCTTGTGGCGAGAAGGGGAACTTTGATCTGCAATGGACTGGAAACAAAATGAAAAAAAACAAATAAATGTAAAATGAGTTAAAAATGGCAACTTTCGCTAAGAAAAGTAAAGAAAAAAATGGATAGAATCGGAATATATATATATATATATATATATATATATATATATATATATATATATATATATATATATATATCATATATATATAATATATGATATGTAATATATACATATATGCATATACATATATATATATATATATATATATATATATATATATATATATATATATATATATATGTATATGTACATATTATATATATATATATATATATATATATATATATATATATATATATATATATATATATATATATATATATATATATATATATATATATATATATATATATATATATATATATATATATATATATATATATATATATATATATATATATATATATATATACATATATATAATATATATATATATATATATATATATATATATATATATATATATATATATATATATATATATATATATATATATGTACATATTATATATTATATATATAATATATATAATATTCTATTTCTTTCTTCTTTTCTTTTTTGGCTTTGCTATTATCTATCTTTAAATTTGCACTCTTTTTAGAATCAGGAAACAAAGCAAAAAGTAGAAAATCAAATTCCAATGCAAATGTTAATAATGTCAGTAGAGAAAAAAAGCATTTTGGGAAGCGCCGGAAAAAGTGTTAAAGTAAGAAATTGTGTCAAAAAGAAAAAAAAGTAAAATAATGCAAAGCTGTTATTGGCAACGAAAAGCAACAAAAGCAATTTTGAAAGAATTTAAAAATAAAGAGGAAAAAAAAGGAAAAATCTCTTAAAAAGCAGCAGATTAGATATTTAATTCTTAAAGCGAAATTTAAATCATCGTTAAGCTTTTAGTTTCTTTTTCTTGCAATCCTAAATCACCAGAAAGCAAAAAAAAAGTTAACATATTAATAAAGAATAGAAAAAAAAGTTCGAAAAGAATATATCATAATAACAAAACCAAGCAGAAATTGAGATAGCAATAATATCATAACAACAAGGAATTCATGCATAAGGTACTTCGAGTATCATGCAAACAACAGGCACATGCACCCTACCTACAGTACAGAATTGCATGCAGTGACCCTCAGTGTTTAAGTGAACCTCTGAATGGATATTGAAAGACCTTCTAAGTAAAGGAAAACGTAATAAGTGAATAAGTAAAGAAAATACCTCGAAACATTTCTTTTTATCTTTGGTTTTGTATATATATATATGTATATATATATATGTATATATATATATATATATATATATATATATATATATATATATATATATATATATATATATATATATATATGTTTATATATATTTGTTGGATAGAACTATATATGATAAATAGATTACTCAAACGTGCATCGACATCCTAAAAAATGATTAAGAAGACAAAGCACGTAAGTATCAGACTCTGAAAAGAAACACAAGATGTTTCTCTTATTTCCTGCTAAAATCTCCAGCATAGAAGAGACACAAGGGAGGAATTACAGCTAGGAAACAGATCACGATTCTTGCCACCGCCACAATAAATATGCGGCCATTTTAGCATTGCTTAAGAATGCACAGAAATCAGGAATAAAAATCATTAATGAAAGAAATTAGTTTGCCAGGAAATAAGTATCGTATTTCATCTCCAGATGGCTTAGCAAAAGGTAATGATGTATGCGATTATCATCTTCAGCAAAATCATATGTTAGAAAGTTAATAAAACTGATTCACAAGAACCTCTCGGAAAAAAGGAAAAAACACGTAGCTCTGTTTTGCGAGAAATTAAAAAATAGTAATAACTGACGTTTGCTCGTTAAAAGGTTTCAGGATGTAATCAAATCTCTTTTAATTGGAAATGAAAAAGAAAAAAAAAAAAAAACAATTGCTATTGTGTCTCGATCCATGCAATCATCATTCATCATCTAATCCATGTCTAAATATATATTCTGAAAAAGAAAAGAAAAAATCTCAGACCCTCTCTAGTCGGCGAGGGCCCAACACTCCATTTTCTATCCCTAATTCCCTTCACTAAACTAACAACCGGATAAACAAAGCATAACTGACGTACATCCTATTAGTAAAAGGGATATATATATACCGTGGGTTGGATGAAAACCCCTACTGACAGAACTACAATCGTTCAGTAATCAAAGTAAATCAAATAATAACAAACATTCTATTCCCTCGCATGTTACTAATCTTAACGTGCACTAAGGATATATGTAGACGGTGAAAATCACACGTGTGCACCACTGAGCAGGACTTCAACAGTGGGTGCAGTGAGAAGGCACTGTTGCACTAGACACTAGAGAGTGCATGAGACTTGTAGACTCAACTACACTACGTCTAGAAATTCTACTTGAAGAAGGTTCAGTGGTTGCATCTTCAAACAGGATTCATCTGTTGGACTAAAGTATGGATAGGCCTATTGATGCCTAGGGACGGTTCCACAACAATGTATATATATATAGAGGTAATGGTAATACGCCAAAGCCAAAGCCAAGATTCATACAGTACGCTCTCTGCAGCATTTTAGTTTCTAAAGTAAAAAAAAAAAAAAATGTATATGTAAATAAACATTGGCCAGAAAAAAAGCGTTTTAGTGGACAAGTAACATTTACGTCGCATACTAGTACAGAGTTATTTTGTCTTTCAAATTATGAATCACAAGCTCAGCCACAATCAAAAGATTCTAAGTCTATAAGGCTTTTGTTTTTTAAGGGACGGATCTGCAGGACAGGATCCAGTAGGAAAACAAGGAAAAAAATCGAGCGGTTTACTGTTCATCAAAAAAACAAAAACACAAATTAATAGCCTTAACTAGTCACTCACTCCAGCTTTACTGTGGTTAATCTCTGTCTCTTCAAAATAAAAAGTGTTGTTAATTGCGTTTAATTAAGTGATCTTCTTTGTTTTAGTTAAGTCACCCTTGTTAACTGTCAAGGACGGTTAAAACATGATCCGACGTCGGCCAAGCGCCAAAAATCCGTTGCAATTGCATGCTAGGAAGATGAGGGGGGGGGGGGTGTTGGGATTGGATATTGGGGAGGATTGACTCTTTAAGATTAAAGATAAATGATAAAGCTTCTAGCATCAAGGAATGGACTTATTTTTAATGTGAAGCAACGACAACCCCGTTTTCTATCACCAGCTCCGGCTCGTGATAGAAAACGCGTGGGCCGTAAAGCTGAAGGGGTTTCCTGCATAACCATCAAGTCATCATCATCATCTCATCATATCATCATCATCATCATCATCATCATATTCAATCATCTCTCTCTCTCTCTACCTTGACGCTCCCGCCGGCACCCACCTTGGAATCTCGTTATATGGCACGCTGTAGAAGAGAAAAGAATGTTGCGCTCGATTCTTTGAAGATCCCTTGCAATGACATAAACAAAAAGGCAAGACAACGCTCAACCACACAGAATGAGTATCCTAATAAGTGAGTTAATAAGTGGGCGCGCTGAGCTGGGAATACTCAGCGGTGAGTCACTTGTCTGAGTCTCACTTACTCACTTATACATGGAACACGAGGTGAAAGTGTTGCCAACTGCTTCTTTATGTACAGAAAGCAGTTGGGAATAGACACTGCTATGGTACAGCACAAATACATGAATAATGGGGTATATATATATATATATATATATATATATATATATATATATATATATATATATATATATATATATATATGCACTTATGCATATACAAATATATTACACACTTAAGTACCTGTATATACATTTATGTGTATACATGATAAATGATAATAATAAAAAAATATATATGTTTGTATATATATATATATGTATAAATATATATATATATATATATATATATATATATATATATATATATATATATATATATATATATATATATATATATATATATATATATATATATACATATATATTTATATATATATATACATGTATATATATAAATATATATATATATATATATATATATATATATATATATATATATATATATATATATATATATATATGTAAACATATACACATATATATACATAGTATAATATACAATGCACAGAGAAATATATATCAAATAACATCCTGCAATGATAAGAAAAAGTAACATCAACTAACGTAGAAAAGACAACCTGCCCCTCCTCTTTCATGATAGATAAACACTAAATAGATAATCTTTTTATCACCCGAGACCTTTGATTTGAGGAACAGGAAAACATAAAAAGAGTTGTTGGACAGAGCAGCGCCAGCGACGATGTAGCGGCAAGTGAGAGAACTACCCTTAAACGGGCACGATTGTAGCCAAGGACAACCCAGTCGGAGAGAGAGGGAGGAGGTGCTTGTTGGTCGTTCTCGCTCGCTCTCTGTCTCTCTCTTTCTCTGTCTGTCTGTCTGTTGTTCTGTCTGTCTGTCTGTCTGTCTGTCTGTCTGTCTCTGTCTCTCTCTTTATCTCTCTCTCTCTCTCTCTCTCTCTCTCTCTCTCTCTCTCTCTCTCTCTCTCTCTCTATCTATCTATCTATCTATCTATCTATCTGTCTATCTCTTTCTCTCTCTCTCTCTCTGATAGATAAATAGATAAATGCATAAACCATCGTTAACATCTGGGTTGCCTTGGTATTAGTATCTAATACAGGAAGAAAAAAGAGAAAAGAAGAATAAAAGAAGAGGAAGAGTGTGAATAGATGTAGAAGAGA